AATTTAGTCAAGCGTGAAACAAGTCCTTAGTGTGAAAGTGGGTGGTTGGGAGGCAGTAAAACTATGGCTCAACTGCCTGGTTTTATTGATCCCCCCCAACTACATGTGTGAATGAGCCCTATGTGAGGACTCCCATGCTATCTAAAACTAAGAAAAATAAAGTTTTGCCTGCAAATTTACTTTGTTGCATTTTTGTTTTGACAATATGCTTCAAGTAGAAGTCTCTACTCATATACGAGGTTATATTTCTGATAATCCGAAACTGTAATTCTCACAAAGATTCTTGAGAAGCCTGCACATGCCATGGCGGCGAACAGCTAGTGAGCAAAGCAAATGCTATCACCATAGGGAACTGCTGAGGCCTCAGTCCATTCCATGCCATTGTTTTGGATCTGATTTCACGTCACCACCTCCAGACAAGAATCTGCAGACATGACTTGTATTTTTAGCAAATTCTTGCTGTGCGGTTTCCAAAAAATTAAGCAACTGGTTTTGTGAAGTCAGAACAGGACTTGCGTTCCTCTGCAGTCTCTTTGTTTCCCCTACGGGGACTGAGGAATTAAACGTGAATAAATATGAAGCAGTTGCCTCTAGCAGCCAATCAATCTCCTGCTTTCATTTACCCGGAGAGCAAAGAGGATAAAAACAAACTCGTTGCTATGGTTACCAGTGCCACTTTTATGTCAGTGTCAGTGGAATCTGAAACAGAAGGAAATCTGCTGCCTTCAGCAAACCACCAGTTCCTTTCTTTTTAGATGAAAGGTAAAAATGTGGCGGTCACCGTGGGCAACTGTGTCATGTAGCTTCAGTTTTTCTCGATCAGCCCCTATCTCTGGGAGTACCCCCGCAGCTCTCCTTTTCTTCCTTGGCAGTCTCATGCTCTCTTTTCCTGGCCGTCTCTCTCAGACTTTCTTTAACGAAAAGCAGATGTGTGAGGCTCCTTTGTGGGAGACGAAGAATCCAGGATGATGCGGTTACTTGGGAAGTCATGCGTCTCCTGAGTGCCTTATTGCAAACGTCCAGAAACGCAAAGCGAGGCGAACAGAGGTGAAAATATCTGCACCGTACAGTATAGCATGTTATAGACTGAGAGGGACAGGTGAAATCACAAATTTATATACCCCATTATTGAATCACCCCCTATCCTCCTTTACCCTAGGTTCACACCTATGCAAGTTGCGTTTCAGTAATTTCTGCAGTGCGTTTTGCATTTTTGCAGCATTTTACGTTTTGGGGAAGGGGGGGGGTCATTATTTTTTTCTTGTTGCTAGGCAGATTTAAAATACAAAACACGCCAAAAACACAGCAAAAACAAAATACATGCTTTTCTATTTCCATTGAAGTCTATAGAACCAAAAATGCAACTTTTTGTGTTCAAAAAAGTCCCTGACCCTGTCCAAAAAAAAACACACCGGGTGAAAATGCACAGATGTGAACATGTCACATAGGAAGTCATGTTAAATGAACTGTACTGCATTTCTGCAAAATTCTGAAGAAAATGCTTTGGTGTGAACATGTCCCATAGGAAATCATGTTAAATGGACTCTACTGCATTTCTGCAAAATGCAAAACTCTGAAGAAAACACTTAGGTGTGAACCTAGGGTAATATATATATAAAGCTGCGCACAGACAGCGTGAATTTTGGCTAATTAATGTTGAGTCAGCATAAATCTGAGTTGGGCGGAAAATTATCGGCCAAACAGTGACTATATCCTATCAGATGCCGTCACTGTTCGGACTCATGTACACAGGTGCTTTTGCCCATATAGAGAAAAACGCGGACGTATTCCAGAGACAGGGAGGCATGAGTGGTGCATGCAATCAGCTTCCAGCATTCTGTCAGAATCATGACAGGCAATGGGGGGGCTATACTCACCTGTAGCAGTTCCAAGCGGTACTCATGCATGTACAGATTCCACCCACACAGCCGGATCATTCATTCATAGTGTTCTGTGAATGAATGAATGAACTACAAGTCCTTAGTGCTGTGCTGTGAAGCACCGTCAAGGCTGCTGTTAGAAACCACAGGGCCCCATACAGCCAACCTGACAGGGCCTCTGAAAAAAAACAAAGTTTTTCCCCTGCAGGAGAAAATTGGATTGTGCTTTGCTGGGTTTTTTTGCCTTCCTCTGGATCAACTGTGGGTATAGGATTATAACTTTTCTTTTTTTAATGGTTGAACTGGATGGACTTTTGTCTTTTTTCAGCCAGACTAACTGTGTAACTACTACGCTTCAGTTATGAATGAACACAGTGAGTGATCGGTACCAAGCACGCAATGTGGTCATTCAGGAAGGAAAGGGGCTGGTAAAATGTTACATATTTACAGGACCCTTCCCCCACTCTGCATCCTATTGTGTGCTTGTAGCTGCTGGTAGGAAGAAGGGTAGGGAAGTCAGCTGCACTGCAGGGGTGGGGGCACACAGGGGGGAAGCGTATGGTGCACAGTGAGGGTGATAAGGTGCTACGGGGGGGGGGGGGGGGGCAATTACTGGAACCAATACCCTGTATGGCTCTCTCTGCAGCAGCTGAAAGCCAGGAGAAGAAGCCAGCTTTCAGCTGCTGCAGAGAGAGCCATACAGGGGATCAGTCCCAGTATTTGCACCCCCTCTGTGCTGATCACCATCCCTGCCCACATCCAATTCACCCGGCTGCCTGGGCCCTGTACAGGAGGACTGGTGGTACCCCCTTATCCAGCCCTGTGGTAGTTTATTGAATCTTCCTACTTGCCCATACATCCTGTACAAGCAAGCAGATATACTGACAGGCCTGCATGGCACCAACGATCTGCTGATCACTGGTGCAATGCCTTACAGGCTCCTGCAACCAAAAATCATAAATGCACATGCAAAATCATGCGTTTTCCCAACACGTTTCCTTTAGCAGACACACGGCGGTGCCATTAATTGTTAATTGTAATGGCACCACCATGTGTCTGCTGTTAAATGGGGGTGCCCAGGGTCGTATTCACCACAAGGCAAACAAGGCATTTGCCTAGGGCAGCATTTTTTCACGGGGCCAGCAGCATTTTTCAGGGGGAAGAGGCAATTTCCAGGGGGGCAGTGCTGCCACCTGAATGAAGGGATGGAGGAAAGGACACGCAGCATGGGGACCAGGTGGGATCTGAAAGAGTCTGCAGGCTGCTTTATGTTGTATGCAGAACCTGACTCTTGCTTCCGGGGATGTCCAAAGCTGTGAAGGTGAGTGTCTTCTCTCTCGCCGGGGTGGGGGGAGAGGTTGCTAGTGTGTGGAGGGCAGTGGTAGTGGAAGGCTCTCTTGGGTGGGGTGTTGTTGGTTAATGTCAGGCTCTTATCATGGGAGAGGGGGGGAGAGGGGGGTGTTTGTCAGTGTCAGGGTCTCTCCATGGGGGGTGATTTTTGTGTTGCCTAGGGCAGGACAAAACCTAAATACACCACTGGGGGTGCCAATATTTGTAATCTGCAAAAAAGAGCATTTTCCTGCATGCCAAACTGCCAGGTGCTGCAGTGCTGTATGGTTCATAGAGGTACGTTTTTGGAAAAGAGTCAAAGACTTATTTTCCTTGTTTGTCAAATGTTGAAATAAATGGGCTGCCCTATATGCAATGCACAGGAATGTGCGAAAAACGAATACAAACCTGTAGGTGTGAACCAAACCTGCACATCTGAATGAGCCCTAAACTGACAACAGACCTGAACTCACCTCCTACTCCCTTTATACAGTATTATCCTTTAGGACCCATTCATACAAATTACAATGTGGGAAACGTGCATTTCCTGCACTGCACGGGAACACGCTGCCCTCGTTAGACACATGCAGGTGCCATTAATTGTAAACGGCATCCCAAATGCAAGTGCTTGCGCATAGTGACCACCAAAGTGTACAGTATCGCAGTACCATGCCGTTTGGAACAGTATGATTTAAAAAGTTGCAACTGCCATACTTTTTGCATGTCCCCCCCCCCCCCTTCCTCGTTTGGCAGCCCACTGAAATAAATGGGGTATCGGGAACATACAAGAACGCATTGTGAATCAGCCCTTCCCTAATAATGTCCTAGAGCTAAAGCTGGCCATACACTAATAGAATTTAGTTTGAAACATTTGATTTTCTAATTGTTCAGATTGTTGTTCATTTCGACTGCAGTGACGAGAAGATTCGGAGGAGCAGGATGGAAAAAGTCCATTCACTTCAAAATTGATTGTTACGTAAAAGCAAAGAAAGTTTTAAAATACTTTCGAACGACATTCATCAAGTCATCGAGTGCACTGAGAATGTTCATTCAAAACATCTACTTGTGTATGGCCAGCTCTATTGTTTCCACACTTCGCCCCCCCCCCCCCCCCCTTTCCAACCCATAATAACTCCTCAATCGCCTTACCAATGCTAAAACGTATTTCATCCTGCCAATAAAGCCTATTTGAATTTGAAATAGAGAATGAGAGGGGGGGGTAGGGACTAGGAGTCAAGAGACAGAGGTGTGCCTGCAATGGGAGGAGGAGAGGCACACAGGCGGGGAATCAGGTGTGTCCTCAGGACAGGAAGAAGAGACTGCAAGTGACAGAAGAAAGGACAGACAGAAAGAAGCAGGAGCAGACACGGTCAGGAGACCAAGGCTCAGAATCTAGGACTGGCACCGATACAAGGGGCATCGCTGGCAAAAGAAGAGACGTCTGTCTGACATGTGAGCACATCTGGGATAGAGACAGCCTGAGGGCAGGGAGGGGAACAGCAGTGCAAGGGGGGGGGGGGGGGGGGAGTTATAGAGTGCAGGGTATAAAGTGTGTGTGTGCTGGGGGGAGAGAGAAAATATTCAAAAAAAAAAAAAAAGAAAACTGAATAGAGAGAAGCACGAGAGTGAGCCGAGAACAGGGCGGAAACATGCTTACACAGGGGAAAATTAGTGAGAGAGGAAGCCTGCTGAAGAGGGATGAAAGACAAGTGTGAGAAGTAAACAGTCTCTTGCGTTTGCTGAATTCTCAAAATCTCCCTGTTCCAGTTTAGAGAAGACGAATCGGGCAAGATGAGCTGGACGCAACAAGATTCCGATGTCTACAAGATGCTGCATGGGAACGAGGAGGTCAGAACTACCCCAAGACAGTCCAGCAGCTTCAAATTACTGGCGGAGGCTCTGGAGAACAACCCTGACGGTACTTAGAGAAATTTATTCTGTAGATCTATCTTTTGTTAAAATGGAAGAACTCTTAAATAACTGGTTAAAGTCTCTGAAAACCCCTGTAATTTTTTATAGTATAGTTTCAAAGTACATTAGTGTAGTGGTCAGTGGTAAGAATGTATGGTCATTTGACTTACATTTGTGGTCGGTGGAAAAATGTTCCCTACATTGGGGGTCAGTGGGAAGAATGCTCCTTACTTTGGTGGTCAGTGGGTAGAAGGCTCCTTACATTGGTGGTCAGTGGGAATAATGCCCATTGCATTGGTGATAAATGAGAAGAAAGCTCCTTACATTGGTAGTCAGTGGGAATAATGCCCATTACATTGGTAATCAGTGGGGAAGAAATACTCCTTACATTGGAGGTCAGTGGGAATAATGCCCATTACATTGGTTATAAATGAGAAGAAAGCTACTTACATTGGTGGTCAGTGGGAATAATGCCCATTACATTGGTAATAAGTGGGAAGAATGCTCAATACATTGGAGGTCAGTGGGAAGAAGGTTCCTCACATTGGTGGTCAGTGGGAATAATGCCCATTACATTGGTAATCAGTGGGAAGAATGCTCCCTCCATTGGAGGTCAGTGGGAACAAAACTCCTTAAATTGGTGGTCAGTGGGAAGAGGTCTCTTACATTGGTGTTCAGTGGGAATAATGCCCATTACATTGGTGATCAGTGAGACGAAGGCTCCTTACATTGGAGGCCAGGGGGAAGAATGCTTCTTACATTGGTGGTCAATGAGGGAATGTGCTCACTGCTTAAGGAACTCCTGGGGGAACCCTTGTGTTAGGGTGCCATCAATTCTAGGACTAGAAGCTGACACTTATTAGATGACGCTAAACATGCCATTGCTTTAATCTGCATTTAGGCTTCAGTCTGTGGTTACTATGACAGCTGTGACTGTCATTGACATGTACAAGCAGATATTACCAGTACTAGTACTGTCCCCAAGCTTCAGCTTAGTTGTGGTTACTGCGTCATATATGACCGTTACTGCAGGGTTGGACAAATTAATATACAATTCAGAAGCCAGCTCCATTGACAACGACTAGTGAAAACCTCAAAAGTAAAAAAGTAAAAATTAAGGTGTAATTTTTAGGGAGCATTGAATACCTAGCTGCAGTGATTTTTTCCAGTCCTAGCTTACTTGCAGATATTACCATTGCTAAGACTCTGCCTAAGCTTCAGCCTGTGTTACCACCTCATATGTGACTGTTACTGATACTTACTAGCAGATATTACCAATAATAGGTCTGTGCCAAGTTTCAGCCTGGGGTCATCACGTTATATGTGACTGTTACTGTTACTTACTTGCAGATATTACCAGTACCAGAATTGTTCCTAATCATCAGCCTTAGGTTATCACCTCATATGTGACTGTTACTGGTATTTACTAGCAAATATTACCAAAACTAGGATTGTCCCTAAGCTTCAGCCTTTGGTTACATCTTATATTTTACTGTTACTGGTACTTATGAGCAGATATTACCAAAACTAGGACTCGCCTTAACCTTCAGCCTGTGCTCACCGCTTCATATGTGACTGCTACTGGTACTTACTAGCAAATATCACGTATACTATGGCAGTCAATTATGCTTCAGCCATGGTCGTTTCTGCACTTGAAGGTATTTCCACTGCTAGGAAAGTCACCTGTTCCACAACATGACATGTAGCCACAACACAGCACTGACACCGCAGACATAACACATATAATCAGGTGTTAGCAATATAATTAGTAATATAGCCATTGCCATAGCCACTAGCAGGGGCAGACTGATAACTCATGTGGTCCCCAGGCAATAGGGGGTCATGTGGCCCCTGTGTCCTTGCCCAAAGTAAAAAAAGCCTATGAAAAAGGTACCAGGGGCATCTCATGGGGCCCCATACTGACCCCGGGCCCTCGGGCAGTGCCCGAGTTTCCAAGTGGTCAGTCCGCCTCTGACCACTAGTTAGCAGTAAGTCCTAAGGCTGGTAAGTCCTAAAGGCTGTTGCATACACTGCTGCCACTTAATACACTGACCCACTCTAACTGATAGTTCTTTTAGCAGCTTCTGTAATTATTTGGATTATTATAGAGCTGCAATGCCAATAATGCCAAAAATATGACTACCAGCACATCCACCAGTAGATGATTCCACCACTTAGGACACATGCTTACCCTAGTAATGCAGATACTGTAACTGGTAAAGATTCACTGACACATATCAGCAGCTTAGTACTGTCTTTAGTTGATTTATTAATTGATTTACGAATTCTATTAGTAAGACTGTTGTTTAAGTGAACTAATGGCTTACTATCTACATGCAGGGTAAAGGAGGATGCAGTATGTGGTATGCAGAGTAAAGGAGGATGTAGTCTGTGGTATGCAATGATATGAAGAAGGAAATTGGGTTGCTGCCACCGGCAGTACCTGTCATTACTCGTCTAAGACACTGCTACCACACTGAGAATTTGAAGGTTTTTCTCCATGGCTATTAGAATATCTTACTTCTAGAGGGTTCTAGACAGCCCATGCAGAGGGGAGGGAAGGCATCCTACAAACACCTCCAGTGCTGCATTACAGTAGGTGAACAATAACAAATGGACTAGGTGGTGATTGACCTGTCTCACCCGTATTTCTTCAGATGAGCCCTTGTTGGCAGTGTCTGTGGGGGCTTCACAGACCACCCAAATGTTCATCTGATATTATGATAAATTGAACATTTAATTTCTGTGTACGAAGGAGCTTTATTATTATTTTTTTATGTACTGTATGTATCAGAAGGAGTGAGACTACATGGTAGTGGTCAGGCAGAGCTGTGAATTCTGGTAGGCAGATCTCGTTACAGGAGTCATTGAAAAGTACATTAGATGATTTATCCCACTATCATCCACCCATGGCTGAAATACCAGTTTCCTTTGACTTGACGCCCTAAAAAACCTATTTTGTGGTGCACTTTACAGAACTCTTCTTGCCCTTAGTAATTGGTGATGCCTGGATGCTGACACAGCCAGTCATCTAATAATTAGGTTATTTTTGTCAACCGCACTGTGGAGACTGGTGTTAAAGTACACCTGTTATAAGAGAAGTAGGAAGGCTGCCATTTAAAAGTGAATGTAAAACCAACATTTCCTTTCTTTTTTGCATTTTTAGTCAAAGTAGGTTAACACTTGCAAATGGGGCTGTCACCAATAACATCCAAGAACCCCAGTGGTGGTGCCTAGTGATTAGATGCAGGAGGCAGCCCCATTGAAATCAACAGGAGGCTGACAGCTCCCACTGCTAATTGTGGCCATTCGCATGTAATCACATGTAATGCATGTCATTGGGGCTGTCTCCTGCATCTAATTCTCAGGAACCCCTGCTGGGGTTCTCCCATGAAATCAGTGGTGGCCATTTGCAAGTGAATGGGAACTAGGACCCCTGTCAGTTTTTTTTTTCTTTTTTTGCAGTCTGTATCTCATCAGGGAGATTATCCTTCACTTTTTGTCCCAGAGATGCAGCAGGAACTAAGAGAAAATCTCTTCAAAGGGGAAACCCCCTATAAGACATTTGTGGCCACAACAGGTGACCCCACTGGAAGTTTTTTCCTCATCACCTGTTCCTGTGACAACTTAGAGATTTTGGATTTCCTTTATGAACACTTTCTGTACTGGACAACAGTTACCAGGGCAAATAATGAGGGCAAATCTCGCCAGTGGGGACATAGACAGCAATAGAAACTTGAAAGAAGTCATAAACCTTCTATCTAAAACTATAAAAACAAGCATGCAGAAATGAACTATAGAAAAGTCAGAATTCCTTATAGCTATAGTTATATCTACAAGCATCAGCATAGCACCAAAGCAATTACTGTAGCTATTATAAATTCTGTATATATCCCTCAGGGGCGGACTGACCATTTGGAAACTCGGGCACTGCCCGAGGGCCCGGGGTCAGTAGGGGGCCCCATGAGATGCCCCTGGTACCTTTTTTTATAGGCTTTTTTGAGTTTGGGCAAGGACACAGGGGCCCCATGATCCCCTATTGCCGGGGGGCCCCGTGAGTTTTCAGTCCGCCCCTGATAGCCCTACAGAACAGACAGTGCACAGTCCACGTGTATTTTTCTGCTTCACTGTAACAATGACACAGGAAATAGAGTATACTATAGATTCAGCTACAAACTTATAAACACTGCCATCTACTGGTTGAAGAATATATCTCCACTGAATACTGATGTAATTGTTGCACAAAATACATGAACACAGTATTCCAACATTAGCATTTTGTTTAAAAGGAAAGGTCTATATATTTCTCTAATGATAATGATGACTCTGACTTGTTCGAAGACTGTAGTTAGGTGCAGAACATATAGCTGCCGTTTGAAAAGAGATTCACAGCTTCACCTATCTTTGTATTTCATTCTGCGTTTAGACCCCAACACTGTAATTTCATACATCTACATCCCACATTACAGACCCTTATCACACACAGTCCTTCCGTACACCTATGAAGAAGGAAATTTGGTTCCTATGGGCCAGCCATTCTCAGCCTGGTTTCTGTGGAACCCTAGGATTCCTCCAGATATTGCTAGGGGTCCTTTGAGCTGTGGTTGGTTGTTCTGCCATTTTATGGTGCCTGCATAATTCTGATGCCGACACCACTTGGTAAAGCCAGCAGCAAGACACCAATGATCTTTTCAGCTGACTGTAAGAGTGGAATTCTCACTGCCTATGTAAGGGCTATTCTGACTACTGATCTCCAATGTACAGGTATTTTTCCCATTGATCCTCTGATGAATTGGTTTAAAGTGATATTAAAGGCAAATAAAAGAAAAATAACAAACATGCCTCGATCCTCCTCTTCGGGTCCCTACTGTTGCTCCTGTCCTCTCCCTCCTGCTGAGTGCCCCCAGAGCAAGCTGCTTATTATTTATTTATTTATTTCAGGTACTTATAGAGCGCCGTCAATTTATGCAGCGCTTTACACATATATATTGTACATTCACATCAGTCCCTAACCCTCAAGGGGTGTACAATCTAAGGTCCCTAACTTACATTCATACATACACATATTAGGGCCAATTTTGACAGGATCCAATTAACCTACCAGCATGTCTTTGGAGTGTGGGAGGAAACCGGAGTACCTGGAAGAAACCCACGCAGGCACAGGGAGAACATGCAAACTCCAGGCAGGTGGTGCCATGGCTGGGATTCAAACCAACAACCCTAGTACTGCCAGGCAGAAGTGCTAACCATTTAGCCACTGTGCTGCCCATTATGCTTATTATGGGGGCACCCAAGCAGGCTTGCTCCCAAGCTGCTGCCCTGCGTGTCCATCCACAGAGCTGTGGCTTGTTCCCACCCCCTCTGTCTCCTCATTGGGTCACTGGCTGTGATTGACAGCAGCGGGAACCAATGGCCTCCACTGCTGTCTCAGCCATTGAGGAGGGAGAGTCCACGGAGAGCTGAGGCTCTCGTGCACATTGCTGGAACATGATGGGGCTCAGGTAAGTATTTCGGGGGGCTACTGCACACAGAAGTTTTTTTTAGCCTTGAGCCTTTACAACCACTTTAGGTAAGGGTTCCAAAGAATGTGGAAACAATTTTAGAGGTTCCTCTGGGGTAAAAAGGTTAAGAAAGGCAGTATCACTACTTTTCCTATATATTAATATTTGAAAATGACAGTCAGAATAATTTAGATGAATTTTAATACAAATTTAGTAGCAATTAAAAAAAAATCTGTTTGTGATAAAATTATACATGTATTTATACCAATTTATAGGTCCTTAAATCCTTAAAAAGGAGCATTTGTGGAGTCAATAGGAATTGGGGCCGAAGAGAGGGACTGCTGGGAACTCTGACATTTTTCATTTGTCTGGAGATCCTGCCTTTCAGGTCAATGACACGGCTACATTTGACCCAGTCTAGAAATTCTTAACGCTGTGCTTTGACACTGGTAGAATAGTCACATGTCCTCCGAACAAGTTAAGACAGCACTGAAATTAGTGTACACTCCCCAGGCTGTGACATTGCTGAGGATCCGACAGAACACAGGGCTCAGTGTTTGTAGCTTTCAGTGCTGAGACTGGCGCACTTATTGGAATGCCCCAAGATCTGGCGCAGTCTGGGGTGAGATTGAAATAGACTTATAAGGCATTGAATCTACAGCTGTACAAACTAAGTCCAGACAAAACACAAGCTGCTCCAACCCTATGGGACCAATAATTCATTGCACTAAGTATGTAGTGACACTTTAAGGACTAACAGACAACCTGCACAGATAGCCATAGGGCCTGATTGCTTAATGTATAAGAATATACTTATTGATCTGAAGATACCAGAGACATTTCTTGACTGTTAAGGTAGACCGACATAAACACAAGAGTAGCAAAATGTTAGGGCTAAATGAAAACGATAAGAACTAAAACTTTTCTTGCTTTACATTATGAAGCAATCACACCACTGAAAGTTCAACTTGTTTATTTGACATAATTACACCAGCTTACTAAACATCACTATTGTGCAAGTTACCAAATTCCAGAAGGCAGGTATGTAACCACATATGAGATCCTGACAGCAATTATCTTCTACCCAAAACATTCCAAGCAGATAAGGACCTGGTCAACAAAGCCAACACTGCCTTGGCCTTTGGGTATCAACAACACTTTCACATTTTTAGTAGAGTAAAGAAAGCATACTATACCTTATCTGGGGGACTGCCCCTCTTTTGGAACCACATCCCTTGGTCCTACTTTGCTCCTCAGTGGTCCCTTTTTGTGGTGCGTTATATAAACCTCTATACAAAATGTATTTAATTAAGGCTATATATTCCACATTTCACATTTCTGACACTGTGGTTCTGATACGTAGTGTCATTCTGCATCCGCTCCTACCTGAATCACTGGGTAGTTTTCCCCACAGGCTTCTATTAATTTTTTAATTCTGCACAGCAGAATCATCCATTCACGTCCCATCTGCCACTGTGGCAGTGGGACCACTAGTTCTCAATGGAGCACAAGTGATGTTACTGTAGTCCAGTGTTCCTCCAGCCACAAGTAGGAGAATCTGCAAGAGCCTGTGCATTGTACCCGAAATCCACTGATTGTGGTTGCAATACTTTGCAGGCTTCAGTTCAAAAAATTTAAAATATGACATTTTTGTTTCTTTTTGCAATATTGGTTGCATTTATGGGAGCACACATTTTTTTCATTTATATTTTTACAAAAGTTGGAATGTGCCTTTAGATACCAAAAGTGTTATACACTAAACCGTTCATCCAACCTCTTTCTTATTTTTTAACATCCATTATAAAGGAAAGTTAGTGGAGTAAAAAGCACTTAAGTATGGAACCAAAAATATTTTGTGTAATAATTGCATATGCTGTGCGAAATTGAAGCAGTGGTCTTTCTTTGCCAGCTTATTTTGTGCTTAAAAGTGTTCTCTCAGAAATGGGAAGGTCAGAATTTTGAAAACATTTTATTGCTGTCTGTGATTTCCTGTGCCACAGACAACTCTCCCCCTCTCTGCTTAAGGTTGTCACAGGGTATGAATGCTTCTTACATTAGTAGTCATGTGTAAAGAATGCTTCTTACATTGGAGGTCAGTGAGAAGAATGCTTCTTGCACTGGTGGTCAGTGAGGTGAATGGTCATGGTGGCAGAATACTCTTTACATTAGTGGTCATGTGGGAAGAATGCTCCTTTCATTGATGATCAATGGGAAGAATGCTCCTTACGTTAGTGGGCAGTTGGGAAGCAGGCTCCTTTCAATAGTGGTCAGTGGAGAGAATGCTCTTTACATTGTTGGCCAGTAGGAAGAATACTCCTCACATTAATAGACAGTGGTAAAAATGTTTCATATGTTAGTGGCCAGTGGGATGAATGCTCCTTAGATTAATGGTCATTGGAAAAAATGCTTCTTACATTGGTGGCTAGTGGGAAGAATGCTCCTTAAATTAGTGGTCACTGGAAAGAATGCTCCTTAGATTAGCGGTCAGTGGGAAGAAGATTCCCTAGATTAGTGGTCACTGGGAAGAAGGCTCCTTAGATTATTGGTCAACGGGAAGAATGCTCCTTAGATTTTAGTGGTCGCTGGAAAGAAGGCTCCTTAGTTTAGTGGTCATGTGAGTAGAATGCTCCTTAGATTAGTGGTCATGTGAGAAGAATGCTCCTTAGATTAGTGGTCAATGGGAAGAATGCTCCTTACATTGGTGGTCAGTGGGAAGAAGGCTCCATAGATTAGTTGTCAGTGGAAAAAATTCCCCTTACATTAGTGGTCGGTTGGAATATAGCTCCTTACAGATAGCTGAAAAGATGATTGGGGACAGTGGTAGCTTATCTAAGATACAAAAATTGCTCACTGCTTGAGGAACCCCTATCAATCTCTGGAGGAACCCTAGGGTTCAATGGAATCCTGGTTGAGGAAACCATCACTTTTCACATCCCCCACATTTAAAAAGTAAAAGTAAAGTAAAGAGTAAAAAGTAACAAACATATTGAGCTGCATTCAAACAGTAGTCATCTGTTGTCTGTACACATCAGCTGCCAACCTTCAATGTTTGAAGGGTGCACATGAACATTGTGATCTGGCATCGGGAACCAACTGGAAGAGTCATGTAATTTATCTCTTTCCCAGGAAGATGTGACATGCTCGGGAGATGCACAAATCACAAATAGGAAACACATATCTTACTGAAATTAAAGTGACTCATTCACTTGTTGTAGAAACCATCTGTAGAACTAGTAGGAAGATTGAGGTTTCAGTCTTATAGGAATCTCTGAATGTCTTGGATGGAGCTCAGAATAAGGGGAGTTGTTTTGCTGTATTGCAGGTATTTCCACGGCTTTCCCCAGCAGACTGTCACCCAGTGCACAGAAACCAGTAAGCAGCAGCATGATGCAGAAACCCATCGTCGTCAACTCGGTGCCTTCCCCCGTGAGGTTGTGCGAGAAGTGCAACAAAGGCATCAGGTGAGTGCTGTGAGACAATGGTCCGAACAGTAAATGAGAGGGTAATAGTAGGATCAAGCAAGTGCTGCAGATACTGTTATAAAGTTATGTAAAAATAATATTAGTACAAAGTCCAGATCAAATTCATATAGATTTACCCAATCACATTTACTGATGTAATTTATGCAAAATGGCCACCTATAGTGCACTAAACAGATCAGCACCATTTTGCAGAGAAACTGAATAAAGGATATGTAAACCTATTCTACTAAATTATCGTATATACACATGTTAATGCAATTTCTGAAGTTTTCAATATTTTTAAATCTGCAGCTTTCATTTATATGGTTTGCAAAGTCAGCCCCTGTCATTGTATACGTATGTCTTCAGAATTTTGGTTCTTCCAATTGTCAAGATTTCAGCTTGCACCTCAGTAGTTGCAAAGTGCTGGCCATTTATAGTAGGTGTCAGCTTCATCAAAAGCTCTAACTCCAGTAAGGGCACGTAGTTATTATAAGGTAAACTAGCACAATCGTGTTTGTTTCAAAACAGGTAAGGTCTGGTTGGTATAAGCCAGTGTTTCTCAACTCCAGTCCTCATGGACCCCCAACAGGTCATGTTTTCAGGATTTCCCTCAGATGAAACAGCTGTGGTAATTACTAAGGCAGTGAAACTGATCAAATCACCTGTGCAAAATAATGGAAATCCTGAAAACATGACCTGTTGGGGGTCCATGAGGACTGGAGTTGAGAAACACAGGTATAAGCATGGGAAGGAAGGGGAGGGGGCTGTTCCAGGTCCAGCAGTAAGAGCAGGGGTAGGGGGGTTAGTTTTAGATTCATTGGGGGTACAAGAAGGTGCCCTTCCAGCAGGCATAAGATAACTACAGGGGTGGGGGGGCATGTACAGACTTGGTGAGAGGGGGGGTACAGGTACAGTGCTGAAGGAGGTGTAAAGCTGCAGCAAATTGTTGGCCATGGATAGTCGCAGCCAGCTATAACAGTATCAAAAGCCTTATCTCCAGTAAGCGTGTGTAGACTTTATAGTGTGTATATAGTTAATTCATTTTGCTTTCGTGTGACACTTGTCTAAGTTTACGTATCTGTTGCGTATTGGCCTGGTATGTCATAATGACAATGGCATACGTCTATAGTGGCACTCCCATTGATCTGAAAAGTATTTCCTAATGACATAATGCGTGTTTGCCTTCGTGATGTATTTGGCGTGTATGACATTTGTTTAGCCAGTGTGTGTCACTGCAACTGGAATTCCACAAGCAATTTTTATTATGATATATACAGTAGTACAATGCTATGCTGAGAATCCTGAATGTGTTTATAGAAGCTTTCCTCCTTTAGATGATGGGAACAGGTTTGCTTAATAAGGCAGTGCTGTGACCAACAGTGAAATGTATAGTACACAGGGATCAGTCAGCAATCAGAAGCCAATTCTTGATTTGCCCATCCCAGGACAAGGATGACATACAGATGGTCATACTCGCAGTTCCCATTCATGGTGACCATGGCTGACAGTGCTAGCAAATATTCTTTATTATCCTAAAGGCTAGACGAATGAAGTTTGGAGGCTAAGACTGCTGACCTCCAGTTCCCAGAATACAATTTCCCTGGCTGTCATACTAATTCAGCGACTTCAGTACGTTTTAATAGATATAAAGAAAAGGAGATCTGACTTCACTCTGACTACATGTTGTTCCTAGACTATAACTTAGTATAGATGCTATAGACAACCAGGTCGCTAGCAATTTAAGAGGTATGTCAGCAATGAAATTTTCATATTGCTCCGTATACAGACTTTTATGAAAATAACAGGTTGTGCAAAATCCAAATGTAGTAAGGTAGGGAACATTTACAGTATTCTGATGCATTAATGCGCACTATGTTAAGACAGCAAATCACTGGATTGCCAACGCACCAAAAGGTCCTGAAATTCTAACGTGCTATAAAATTTGTAATGCAACACACTATGGTAAATTGCCATGCTCTGTGGCACACTCCAACAAAAATTATGGCATCACAACATATGTACTATAACGTTATTATCATGCATTGTGCATGTTGCCACAATGCAAAGATGTAAATGGGCCCTTAAAAAAACTTGTTGGATATCTTAATGGTCTATGTAGACTTGTGCATTGCTACGCATGTTACATGTATTACCTTGCCTTTTTAAATGGCACCACAATACACTAAGGAAAATGCATTCTGCAACACATGGCAATGCATTAGGGTGTGTTGCGTTCAGGGGCGGACTGACAACTCATGGGGCCCCGGGGCAATAGGGGATCATAGGGCCCCTGTGTCCTTGCCCACGCTCAGAGCACACCCAAAAAAGCCTATAGAAGGTACCAGGGGCATTTCATGGGGCCCCCTACTGACCTACTGATGTTTTGGTGAGTTGGCAGCCCAATGATTTAAATCAATGAGCATAGTATGAAAGAATTCATAAGAAGAGAGTTTCCTTACCTGAAAACTACATGTCAGTAGATACTGTTAACCCAGAAATGCAGACAGATGACGTTCTGTGCATTTTTGGAGAGAGTTGAGCTTCGCACCATCCCTTCTACAGCCTCATTTAATTTGCCTGCAATCTGATGGATGACCTCACTGGCTAATCAGGAGGATTAGGAGGTGGTAAGACCAGAGCTATAAATTGCAGGAAAAGTTAAGATTTGGATCAAAAAATTCAGCTGTCTACAACTCTGGATTTTCTAAGACTTCATGCATTCCTCTCAACACCTTTTCTCCAGGCAGGAAAGAAAAAACATGTCTAAAGCTGCGTTTTGCACACGCGTTTAGGCACATCAAGCATTTGGGCTTTCATTCATTCCATTTTCCAGAATATTAATTTATTCCGGCCATTGAAATGAATGAGCGCACCTAGGGCGCAGTTAAACAAGTTTATGCATGATCAGCTTTTTCAGCCAAACACTTCTCTTCTAAACGTGTAAAGTGATTTTTTCTCTGCCTCTAAACGCTCCTGCCTCTAAACACCTGTAAATGCCTATGTGTACGTGGACATAGAGGGGCATTTAGAGGCAGAAAAAAAGCCAAATGCCTGTAAACGTAGCATTTTTTTTATGGTCAGTGTGCATCAGCCATAAATGTTCTGACATGGCTGATTTCACTAAAGGTAAACTGTGGTTACAATATTTTGCATCACATGCAAATTTCAGCAGATTTACTTTAATTCACAGACCTGTCTTGTCTATATGCTGAGGATGATGATGGTGTGTATAAGAAGTATGGGAAGACTAATGTCATCATCTTTATGTTTGTACAGTGATATGGCTGTGAGGATCTCAGAGGGACAGTACCGTCACCCAGCCTGCTACGTGTGTGAAGATTGTGGCCTCAACCTACGCATGAGGGGACACTTCTGGGCAGGCAGCAACCTGGTGTGCGAGAAACACGCCCGAGCCAGGCACAACACACACAGCGCAAACCAGCGCACATGAGGAGATATCCCCAGCACACACCTCTTCACCCTCAGACAAGCCTAGCCATGATCTGACTATTTCAGCAGGAGCACCTCTTACCCAAGTGCACCTTACACTGAGCACTGGTGACCTCTACTATGGACTGTGCATGTTCTTGCTTGAACAAAGGATTACTGTAACCTCCAGAGAAGCCATTGATGACATGAATTGTGTTTTAACAGTGATGAGAAATGTTGCAAACATGGTTTTAATCCTACTTCTCCTATGTGAAGGCATCTATGTTACTTTAAATCTCATATACAATTGGTAGGATGGGAACACCATAAAGCTTGTTTCAGTCCAGTAATAATGAAGTATGGACTTGGAAAAAAAAATACATACTCACTTCAATGTTGCAGCATTGGTGTGATGCTACTGCTGTCCCATGTCAGCTCCAAGACCAACACTTGATCTTTGACTCAGATCTTTGTCTTTTCGGAGAAGAGAGCGGTGACTGTCAGTCACCGCTCTCTACTACTCTGCCCCTCCTGCGCTCACTGTATCACTGGGCTGTAGAGGGGGTGGGTGCAGCTGGAGCCAACTGTCAATCAGGCATCTGGGTGGATTCCGACAATATGTTCGTGATCCTTCCAGGCTGCTAGTTTGGCACCCTGGATCCCATACTATCTGTATCATTTTACAATTTTACAATCTAGTACAAGTCTGAACCCATTGCCAGCACACAGACCCTGATGAAGGGGAAGTTTTGAACTGATATGTGTTGGATTTTTTAAATGACTATTTGGTGAAAATAAAATTGACACTGGACTGAATCAAGCTTTGTAGGGCTCTCATTCTTCTAATGCTCTATAGACTACTCCAGAGTTCTCATAGGACAACCTGGCTGACAGAGAGCTGCCTCTGAAAGTAAGATCTTAACTGCTATGTCTTGGCCTACTATAGGGTTCAGTGCTCCTCCAACACATACCTACTATACATCTCATAGCAAAAAAAGACTCTCAAAATGTGTGTATAGGGCCTGCCAGCTTTACACGTCTCTGTCTACTACTGAAACCTCTATAGACAAGAGGGTTATAAATGTTGTGTACTGATAATGATAAGCACTGCACGGTATGGGCAAAGGGCAAACCTGTTCTCTTGTCAGAGTGTGCGATATGATAAGCAGAGCTGTAATGTTATATTATTTCACAAGTCATGTGTCTTCCTCTTTCCTACACTGTTAAATACAAAACCAAACAAAGAACCCTTGTTTTCACAGTGAGAACCATAGTGGTAAAGGCTCTTCTATGAACTTCCTGTGTGCTGATCCCACCATCTGAAAACAATCAGACCCTTAGGGGCCCATTTACATTATTGTGCTATACTGTATTTGTTGCTGTCTTTTCGTGCCAATAGCACCATAATGCAGTACGGCAATGTTTTGTAGTATACATGTGAGTACATTGCATTACAAAAATAGGTCACATCTGATTGTTAACGTTTTGAGTGTGCTGATGGCCATTATTTTCAATGGGCTACTTTTAAAGTGTTACTAAACCCAGGACCCTGCATTCACTATATCTGGTCTCCCACAGTGCACAGAACGTGGAAATGCAATTATTTTAGTAAATATAAACTGCTAAATACCTTTTCTCATCAGCAGTTAGAGCAGTCTTGTGACTTCTATCAGTGTCCAGCAGAGCACTGGTTAATGCTTCTAGGAAGAGTTTTCATTCTCCCCTATGAGGCTACAGGACCCCTGACCCTCTTTCTGGGCAGTGCTGATTGGCCCTGTGCTGATCACACGCACTCTTCCAAGAAAAAAAAAAACTCTCTAACAATACATTCCAAACTGAGCATGTGCAGCTTGCCCCCAAGGCCCTGTTCTATCAGGAGTTATATTGGGGACAGAAGAAGAAGGGGAGAATTGGAGAAGACAGGATCAAACAGCCTTTTTACACAATGTGGAGCATTAACCCCTTAGGTTCCACAGTGAGTATAACAAGCATGCTTTACTGCATATACAGACTGATTTTACTGTTGTGGATTTAGTAACACTTTAATACAACGCACTCAAAAAATGTCAATGGACCCTAACATATATCCAAACCCAAGAACAAAAATTTATTGCAGCTTACCAGTCCTTAGATGTGTGCATTAGTTATATTTTTTTTCAGGCTAATAACATTTCCAGCCAAGTACCAGATGATCTTGCCAGAAATGCAGTGTCCTTGTCACTTCCTGTGAACGTAAAGCTGAACTCCGGGTAAAATCAGAACTGACCTTTGCAATGGGGCTTCAACTACACTACAAGAGTTAGTACTCAGTTTTCAGTTTTGCTGACTCTGTTGGAAAGATATCTACATCTTAGACCAGTGGTCTCCAAACTGTGGCCCAGAGGCTGTATGTGGCCCTTTGCTTTCCTTTATATGGCCCTTGGGGCACTATACCACCAACTTTCACCAATGATGGAGCACCATTCCCCTGACTGACACCATCAATGGGGCACTGTTCGTCCTATGGGGCAGTGATGTCGGGCATTTTCTACTCCTACAGGCTACAGTCAGGCCCCCATAAAGTGTGAAGGACAGTAAACTGGCCCTTTGCTTTGAACGTTTGGAGACCCCTGTCTTAGTCCATGGGCCTGCACATCTCCCCTGTCCATTTGAAGGGTTCCCACAATTCCTGCTGTAGGTTTTTATTTATTTTATATTATGTGAAATGCAATAGGAGGCACTGGAACACTCAAGGGTGGGGGGACACACAAAACTCCCAGATGAATAGGAATAGAGTTATAGCAGGGAGATTTAGCAATTTGAGTTTCAAAGACACATAAGAAGACAGAAGCTGGAAAGCTCCATCTATACTTAAAATATAAGTTTTGGGTGGACTGACCCTTTAAGCACTTTCTGTGCCAGGTGCAGTTGTTTTCTATGGATGGAAATCAGTGCTCACCTATACTTTGCTGACTAGAGAAGCTTCAGTTACTAAATCCCACATTTGGGCCCCTTTCAGACAAGCGCTCCATCAGTCCAGCTTTGACCCGTGATTAGGCACATCAAAAACAGACTGCAATGTATCCCTTTGGGTGGCTGGATGTAAGCGGGTGTGCGTCCATTTACATCTGAGCCCAATTAGGTTCCTCAGATTGAACGCCTTTGCAGACCTGACCAGATGTGGGTAGATCTAGGAAAACAAATGTTCATTTACATCTAACCACCCATAGGGATTACATGGATCCATTTCCATCCACTGATGGATCACAAGATGGAGGAAGAAACCGAAAGGTGTCACATATGTGACATGTGTTCCTGTTTTGATCAGACCAGCAGGGGATCAGTCTGGGATTCCCTGCTGAGATGGAATGGAGGAGCCCATTTAAAAGGAGCCTAAGAATAAAGCTGGCTACACACGAAAATAATTTTGTTCAAAATTTTTCATCTTTTGAGTGTCTGCTCGATTTTCTAATCATTAGTAAGTCAAACTGACATTTATTTTCAACGGCAGTAACAAAATTCCAAGTAGTGGGATGGAAAATTTTTCTCAATCAATTGAATTTTTAACAGTGTATATGGTTTTCGTTTGGGAAATTACGTTTTTTCCAGAATCAAATGTTACGTTTTGGTTCACACTATGCGGTGCAGGGCACCGCATGTAATTCGCACAGAAATCGCACCGTATTCCTGTGCGAATTGCATGCAAATGTCTGCGGTGTGATTTGAGCCACACACTCTGTATGGCTCAAATCCTATTGCATCTGCACCAAAAAGGTATAGGACCCTTTTTTAAATTGGCACCTGAATCTCATTGCATGGGTGTTCTCACCCATGCAATGTGATTTCTGGCACTTGCATCGCATCCTGCAATCTGTTTCAGGGTGTCATTAATTTATCATTTACACCCACACCAGATTGCATGCGATTGCAATGTGGTGTGTTTCCTGCACTGCATTGGTGTGAACTGTGTCTAAAAGAAAACTAAATTTTGAAGTATTTTTGAATTTTTGGATGAATTTTCAGTTGCAAAATCTACTGGTGTATAGCCAGCTATAGGGAAGTTGTTATAGTATTGGACATTTGTGTGCCTAGTTGCTGCTAACAGCAGATGTGTACAGTGAGCAATGCTTATTTGTAAAAGCCTTTAGATATTCAGATTCCATACCTTCCCAATTCATCCAGTCATACTAGGTATATGTCACAAACGTACCGGTATATTTTTTATTATATTTCTATCAGAATGAGAGCAAAGCCCTCAACATCTAACATATTCCGTTAGCCATGATACTAGCGACCTATTTATAAATAATGAAACTGTAAAGCGGGCCATACACTATACAATCTGATTGTACAATCACTATCTTTTAAGCCCTGTACACAAAATGAGAATATTGCACGAATGATCATCCTTTTTTTTTTCATACTAGTCTCATATCGATGAAGAAAAGGTTACTGAAGTTACGGAAATTCTCATAGGACAGACCTAAAATTCAGAAGTGATGTCACGTGTTGCAATGTATTTGTATTGCATTTCTGGATGAAAACTACTGATTAAACGAAAATTGTATGAGAAAAATTTTTCGTGCTTGTCCCTTTGAATAATTTCAGACAAAAGCTAGTGCACTAACGATCAGAATATGATACGATCGCTTTAAAAGCTGTATTTTTTGTACGATTTTCTGATTGTGTGTACTAGGCTTTAGAGCTTCCACATCTATGTAAAAGTAGGACAAACCTCACCAGTCCAATTAATTAGTGTCAACTCAGCCAGATCCTTTTACTACATAGTTGATGGTAAAGCTAAGGGATGTTGTACAATCAAGTTGTGTAGTGTATGGCCAGCCTGATATTGATAATACCTGAAAAGTATTTACAGCAATATTATTTTCCGTCACCATGCAATAAGTTGATTGTAGAGATCAATATTTGTGGTCATATAGGAACCATGAACCTCATTTATGTCATTGTTTGGAAGGGAACTATTTGTATTGCCCATGACAGCCAATCAGACACTTGCTTTCATTTGTATAACAAATGTAATAC